TGCTGTTCGTACATGAGGCTTCTGCCATTCTTCCGAGCCCTGAAAGATGGATGGGCGACATATTTCGTTCCGCTGCCCGCATCCCCAGCAGCCCATCCAGAAACGATGCCTAGGCGAGCGATCGGGAGAAGAGATGCATATATGCACACAGTGCAACAGTAAGGCAGGTAATGCTGACTCTAGAGATCTCTGGGAGCCTCTTGGAGCCATCTCGGAGGTCTTTTGGCGCCCCTTCGGGAGCCTTTATGAGGCCCTCCAAGGGCTTCTTTTGGGCGTCGCTTGGAGGCCGTGGGGGCCCCACCAGAGCCACCCTGAAGGTCATCGATCCAAACAAGGCGGTTCTAACTTTATCCCACCCCTGGATCATGACGAATCGCCTGTTGGGTCTCTTGGGACGCTTTTGGAGTGCTCGTGGGGCGCTCTTGGGGGGCCTTCGTGGCCGTCTTGGAGTGCTTCTGGGACCCTCGGTTCTCTTGAGCGATCTTGGAGCCATCTTGAGGCCTGAGGAACTCTCTTTGGGACTCTCGTGGGCTCCCTTGGCCTAGTGGAGGTATCCTCGGGAGGCTCCCTGACCACTTGGAGCTATTTTGGGCCCCTTGGTCGTGTAGGAATTCTTCTGGATCCGTCTTTGAGGGCATCTTGTGCATCTTTGTGGCGTCTGAGGAGATTTGGAGGGCTCTTGAGGACCCCCCCGTTCGCCCCCGCCCATTCTCAAACGGCACTTTAACCATTTAGGACCCCCCGTGAAGCGGAAAGAGGGAACGGGCACAGCCAATCATCTCACACTCTTTCCGACCCGGATGGTGTTGCATGCCTTCACGACCAGAGTTTCACCATCAAGGTCAGCGGGACAGGTCCGTCAAAACTTACACGGCCAGACATTTTGAATATTGTGAGCAATTGCAAGTTGATGCCAGTCATTTCCGAATCAAGCATGATCACAATGAGGCGGTTGGTGTTTATCTAAAATGGTACAACCCTGGGCACAACGCTCCACTTGAGTTTTCAGAGAAACTAGCGAAGACGATCAACTAGAACCGTTTGAAATGCCATGCTGGGATGGTCCAGCATGGACTGGGTGAGCCAAAATAATTCAACAAGAGTCGCCGCTTCTGGTTGCAGGCCCGATTCAGAGCAGGGCGTGCTTTTTAATTTCTCGTGGCAAGGTCATCAGTTGACCGGAGTCGCGGCCGAAAACCTCGGATATCCGACGACGTCTTTTGTTTTGTTTGTTTTTTTGTTGTGTTTACGTTGTTGTTTTTTGTTGATTTGTTTTCGTTTTTTGTTTATTGTCAAAATTTGAACCTTTGGAGATCTGGACCCCTTCCCCGGGACTGGTTTTTCACCCCAAGTCATTTTTACCGTGGTCGTAGGGCCCGGTGAGGGCCCTTGGAGGCCGAAAGGAATAAAGCAGGCCGTAATTTTTTTCGCCAATGCGAAGAGCCCGTTTCTTTATTGCTTGGGGCATGACGGGCGTCATGGCCCCCGCTCCCCCCCCCCCTATGACGTAACGCTCCCCCCCCCAGTGCGCTCTGGGCACTGCCGCCGTGCGCCTTGGGATCCGCGTAGGTGTCCGCGGAGAAATCCGTATAGGTATCTGGTCCGCAGGCGTCGTCGTCGTCGTCGTCGTCGTCGTCCGTCGTCGTCGTCGTCGTCGTCGTCCGTCGTCGTCGCTCGTGGTTCGTCGCTCGTCGCTCATCGTCGTCGTGCGCGCGGACGCGGCTGGAGCCTGTTTTTAAGTCCGGGCCGATGACGGCAATCATTTGGGGGGGAGGGGGTCGATGACGTCACGTTTCGCGCCGGCGGCGTCTGGGATTGCTTCGGAATGACGGAGGACGGGTAGCACGAACATGTAGGTGGCGATATGCATCACAACGCCTGTGTACATCACAGTGCCCGCGTGCACCACAGCGCCTGTGTACACCACACCGCCGATGTACACCACAGCAGCCGCGTGCAACACAGCGTCAGTTTTGTGCCACCGTGCCTGCGGGCACAGCAGCTCCTGTGTACACCACAGCGCCTCCGTACACCACATCAGCCGTGCGCAACACAGCACCAGTGTACACCACACTGCCTGCGTGCATTGTAGTGCTTGTGTACGCCACGGCGCGTGTGTGCACCACATTAGCCGTGTGCAACACAGCACCATTGTTGTGTATAGAATTTCAGAAGGAATCTTTGTGACAAAATGGAGCGCGTGTGGATTCCAGAGAAAACAATGGAAAACAAATCCTCATGGACGAAGGAGCGCCGCTGGAATCTACGAGTCCCCCCGAGTCCGCCCGCATCACCCTAACTCCCATTTGCGTCCAGGAGGCTCCAGCTAAACTGGCCGTCCGAGAACCAAGTGGACCGATTCAATCGACCATCCTGCGGTGCACGCTGAGATGCGCACGTGCGGTGTAACGCCAAGCCGCACGACAGGGGGTAAGAACGAGGAAAAGGAGGAGGAGGAGGAGGAGGAGGATGAGGAGGAGGAGGAGGAGGAGGAGGAGGAGGAGGAGGGAGGATGGAAAAACGTCGCATTCGATTCTCAGAACTTTCCTGGCGTGGCGTTTAGTTGTCCGCAGCAGATCCCGACGTACATGCTCCTTCTACCTGTCCTATGCACGCAGGCACTGTGGTGTACACCAGCGCTGCGCTGCACGCGGATGCTGTGGTGTACACAGGCGCTGTGGCGTGCACAGGCGCTGCGGTGCACGCAAGCACAGTGGTGTACACAGGCGTTGTGTTGCACATGGCTGCTGCGGTGTATGTACACCAGCGCTGTAGTGCTCCCAAGTATTGTGGTATACACGGGCGGTGCGTTGCACACGGCTGTTGCGGTGTACGCAGGCACTGTGGTGCACACGCGTGGTGTGTTGTGGTATACACAGGCGCAATGGGCAGATCGCCACTTACATGCTGCTCGCATCGTCGTCGTCGCTCGTCGCTCGTCGCTCGTCGCGTCGTGCGCGCGGGCGCGGCTGTGGTACCGGAACCACACGGCCGGGGGGGGCGTCACGTAATACCCCCCCCCGCCCTCCCCCCCCCCATGACGCTCGTCATCGCCGAACATAAGGAAACGCGCTCGAAGAGGTGGGTCGGCGGCGAAATCCGAACCATACCCTCGACGATGAACGGTTCAGGCCACTCGATGGGGTAGAGTTCGAAATTCGTCGAACAAGCGGCGAATTCCGAACCTTACCCTCGCCTCCCATCGATTCAGGATCATCGATGGTTAGTGGGGGCAGGTTCGGATGTCGCCACCTAGTGGGGGCGCTGCCCGCTTCGAGTGCACTGGCACTCAGAGCCGGCCTATTGCCCGATGTGGGCCGAGCCTGGGCCGAGGCTCTCCGGGCAGTACTCCGTCGGACTTAGGGGCCTCGCGCTACAGTCGCTGTCGGACGAAGTGAACCTGCAGGTCCGAGAGAGCTTCGGGCGCGCCACCGTGGAGTCCAGCACGGCGCTCACCCACTTCCCGAGGAGCCTCTCCGTTGGACGTTTGTTCTGGGGTCCTTAGCGGGGCCCACCTGACGGCTCTGTTCGACTCCAGCTCGACTCAAGTCCAACCCGAGGTCGACTCAAGTTCGACTCAAGTCGACGGACGTTCGAGGCAGCGTCGTCGCACGGGTGGAGCGAGTGGTTCTGGCAAGGTCCCCACAATGAGCAAACCTGACCCTCAGGCAGTAGTCAGGACCCCGCATGCGGGCCAGCGGGCCTCTCGAATGCTGGGGGCTCTCGCTTCGCGGTGCCACGCCGAGCAGTCGGTGTCATAAGGCAGGGATCGATCGCCCCAGAGGGTCGGGTGCCGAACAAAGGTGGTGCAGGATAGTCTGCCAAGCGGGGGAGGAGGAGGAAGAGGAGGAGGACCAGTGGAAACCCAAGACCCATTAACGATATTGCAGTAAACCCTCCCTTCAGGTTCCCTCTTCATAGGCCCCTACAAGGCTTCCTTTTCGTTGAAGGAAGTGCCCCGTTGGAAGACAACACCTTGAAAATTTGGAACTGTGCCAGAACAGTAACCCTGGGACTTCAACGCCGCGAGCCGCCGTTGTTGCTGCGTCTTGACGATCTTGATTCATGCCAGACCACCATTCATGGAACTTCAACGCCGCGAGCTGCCGTTGTTGCTGCGTCTTGACGATCTTGATTCATGCCAAACCAGCATTCATGGAATTTCAACACCGCGAGCCAACGTGACTGTTGCACCCCGAAACTTCGACATCGTGCCAACACGCTGCGTTTGTGATGTTAACCATGAGAGTCCTTGAACCTGTTGCAAACCATCAAGACGAATGTGCGCGGCGCCGGGGCAAAAACCACATTTTGAAAAGGGACCGCCTTCCATCCGTGGATCAGTTGAAATTTGTTTCGACGAATGTGCGCGGCGGTAAGGCGAGGGCCACATTTGGACAACGGAACACATTTTAAGCCGAATGTGCGCGGCGCTGAGGCAACATCCACATTTCGAAAGCAACCCGCGTTCAATGTGTGAAATTCACAAAAGTTTAGACGCTTCGCGTAACCCCACCAGCTGCGCTTCCCTGGCCTACGGCGGATCGCCCCCGCGCACCTCAAGAACGGCACCCTGAAACTCTCCACCAGCCAGGGTGGCGAGGCCGATATCGTGATCTTCCTGACGACCAGGTCCAACGGAGGGCACAAGTGGGGCTTCATCGGCGATGCCAACAGGGTCGACGTCGCGATCACCAGAGCAACCCGATTCGTGGTGGTCGTTGGAGACGGGAGGATGTTCGCAAACGCCATCTGGTCCAGGCTTCGGGTCCTTTTCAGAGTACGGGGGGCTTGCCAGCCTTTGGGTCGGGTTCCAGAAGAAGCAGGCACCAGGCAACAGTCAACTCCTGGCCCTGGACCCCAGCTTTGACCCAGTCCAAGACCTTGCCACCTGGGTCAGCACGTGTGTATCCTGGAAGGGCAGCGTGGATGGGGATAGAGCGACGAAGGAGATCGACATGGCCAATAGCTTCGCCGACAGAGCCGAGACGCCACTCGAACCCGACTTCAGCTGGGGCGCCGTGGGAAGGTCCATCACCGACTGTATGGACAACCTCCTCTCCACGCCAGCGTTCGCAGTTGTGCTCTACCTGGTCTCGGGACCCCACCCGCGCGAGTTCTTTCTCGCCGAGACCCCCGGGGACCCTGGCAAGCTGGACCGTAAGGCATGGTCACGCCTGGGCTTCCTGTGCGACATGGGCATCGGCCTGGGCGCAAGCAACCTGGTCTACAACATGTTCTGGGCATGCCTGGCGTGGGTGACGGGCCTAGGCGCGCCCTGGGAAGACAGCGACCGCGCCCATTCGGATGACTCGCTCCCATCGCCTCCGCCTGTGAAAGGTCGCTGCAGTCGCCCACGGGCATGGCGCCAGTGCGCGCCAAAGGGCTTGCTGCGACAAGTCCCATAAGCGTGGAGTGCCACGACGCGCAACTGTTGCCGCCACAGGTCGCATCCTGGAATGGACACCCTGGCGCAGCTGCTGCGCGCGGCGCCCCAGGGCCAAGAGCTGCGAGACAGACTCAAGGGCGCAGGCGGCCTTCCCCTGGGCCCCCGAAAGGCGCGCGCCCTCCTGGTCATCATGATGCCCATGGCGAGGGAGCCCAGGGCCTTCCTGTGGCCCTTTTCCCCGCGCCGAAGGTGCGAGCGACGTCGTCGTGGCCGTGCTCGGTATCTGCGCTCCCTGGCAGGATGCGCGCCTGGGGTATCGGAAGAACTTCGCGGCAGCTTGGGGTCTTCGCTAGGCGACTTCGTGGAGCTGCGCGGGAGGATCGAAGACGCGCTCACCCAGATCTCGCGCCTGGTAACGAACGCGCATCACCGCGATGCGGCGAGGGCTGCAGGGTGCCCGCAGTCCTGGAAGGACATGGAGAAGGCCGACTTGAAGCTCGAGGCTCCACTGATCGTCCTGGGAAAGATCGTGCCCGCGGCCGAGCTTGCACCCCTGGCAGACTACAAGTGCTCCGTGTGCGCGCGCCGCACTGCCTTAGCAGGGTCCGAGGCTGGCCTGGGTGAAGACAGGGGCGACGCTGCGCTGGGGTAAATTGGCAGGGGCGCAGCCCTCTCCAAGACTGATCTGGTCTCGCCCGCGCCAGCGGCTCCCGCGCCTGGCACGATACTGGTCCCCATGGCCATCAGCGATGACAGGCTGCTGGGCGAGCAGAAGAACGCACTCTTCACCTGTGGCGGCTGCTCCAAGACCCGGCTGAAGTCTAACGACGGGACTTGGGGGGCGACGTCGCCAGGGACCTCCTGGCCAGCCACAGACCTCAGGCATGCCTGGAGGGGCAGGACCTCACCTGGCCATGCGGGACCTGCTGGGTAGCCAGCCTCAACAGAAGGGGCGCCCCAAGTCCAGCGGGGGCGACCGTGGCCGCCAAGGTCCAGGACTACGCGGCCGGGCAGCCCGCCATGCGACCCCAATGCCAGCGCGCTCCCTCCGCTCCCCAGCCACTGGCCCCTAGGCTACGGATGCAGTCCTCTCTCCCGGGACTCCAGGGCGCTGGCCGACTTCTTGATGGTCCCGCCGACCCAGCGCTGCCCAAAGATCGCCAGCACTCACTGCCAGCGAAAAGGGTCCTGGACGGAAGGTTCGGCGGCGAGGCCCGCAAAACGGGCTCCTACTCCGCCAAGTGCGACGCATGCCCGCCTGGAGGCCCACTCCTGGTATGGAGGGTCGGCGCCCGTGCTCTCGGCTGCTTCATCTGGAAGGGCCAGGCCGAGACAGGAAGCACTGAGCGCGCAGGTCTTCCCGAGTGGGATCAGCGGCCGCTCTCCTGGTTCGAGCGGAAATTGAACGCCGCGCAGTGCAGCAGGAGGTGCCAGGTCTACATGTGGAACGTCGCGCCAGCAACCCTGGACCGAGTCATGGATCGAGACCCCCGGACAGTCTACCCACAGCAGCCAGCAGTTCGCCCGCGTCTTACAGAGCAGGCGGACGGTGACGACGCCACGCCCGACTTGGCTACCCAGCTCGCGCCCGCAGCAGACGCAAGCGCGCCCGATCGCTACGCCCGCAGCACGGCCTCAGCCGGCCCAGTGGCGAACAGCAGCGGAAACCGCGGCGGCCGACTCGCGCATCCGCACACCCAGATTTGCTTCCGCCAGAGTTCCCAAGACTCCGCTGCAGACACATCTCCACACTCGCCATGGAGGAGACAAACGACTCCAAGCGCAGCCGCTCCAACAAGCTCAAGGAGGCCTAGAATATCCTGGTCGCCAACCCGCGGGACAACCGCCCCATTCCTGGACGGCTGCTGGAAGGGCAGCTTGCGTGGTCGGGCATCTGGCGAGCAGTGCGAAGCGCGGGGAGGCCTGGGCGGCGCGCTGCGCGGTCCTGGCGCCCGGCAAGGGCCCGAATCCCCTTCGCCACGAGCTCGCCGTCCTGGCCAACTTCCTGGCCCGCCTGGGTCCCGGAGCGCTCGCAGCTGCCTCCGTCGCAAAACTCGCCGAACAGGGCGCCCCTGCTGTGGGCCTCGACGAGGCGCACTCGGCACCCCCAAGTGGGGCCACGAGGTCCTGGCTTGCGCCGAAGACCGAGGAGACAGCAACAGCAGAGGCCGAGTCAACTGCGGACCCCAATGCCCGACCCAACGACGCGGCCCAGCCCGTGGAGGCCAGCCCCCCCGCGCACAGGCGGACCGCGCCCTTCAGGCGGCAGAGCAGGACGTGACAGAGATCCTCCCTGGTGAAGAGACAGCGGACTCTCCGGCGAGCCCATCGCCGACCGATAAGGCCGACAGCGATGAGGTCGATTTCGGCACCGGCGAGGCCCGACCAGCGGCCTCGCCGCCACCTGCCGAAGACGCGAAAGGTGCAGCCGAGCAGGAAGGCAGCTCCCGCCCACCTCCGCTCGACGCAGCTGGCGACGCGGCCGACGACAGCCCTTTCGACGACCCACTGGGCGCCTTCGGGCAAGCTGCGGCGGGCGGGGGCAGGGGCGAACCCTCTAGCGAGGCGCCAGCCGAGGGTGCGCCCCACAGGCCCGGACATGGCTCTGCTGGGGCCCGGGAAAGTGGCGGCTCGCAGCGCAGGGAAGATCCTGGAAGTCAAGCGGCCAGAGACGGCGCCCCTGGTGGAGGCAGAACGCCGACACCTCCCGCGCGATACGACACCCCTGGGGACAGGAGACACAGCAGGGCCGCCAGCCGGGCCTTCGACGATCTCGATGACCCCGTGGACGGAGGCTGCGTGCACAAGGAGGTGCTGAGCAACGTTGACCTTGACAGGTTCGGCGAGAAGCCAGCAGCCAAGATCGCGCGACTCCAGAAGGACCTGGGGGGCGCGTTCAACGGCGTCTGGCACGCATGCGCCAGGAAGCACCCTGCGGGAGCCAAAGGAACGCCGAAAATGCAACCCTGCTCTGAACCCCGAGGCCACCTGCCGCAGCTTCCTGGACGCTTGGAAGCGCTGTGGATTCGACGCCTATGAGCTGGATCGGCAACTCGACATGCGGGTTGACTGGGGCAAG